AGGAATAGATGAGTTCAGAAACGTTTTTCAATCATTCCGAAAGTGGAAGGAAACTTTTTAAGGCGTGACATAGCACGTTTCACTTTCAATTAAGACTGGGAATTGAATTCGTTTAAGCCTCTTCGGTTGAAATCAGAACATTACTTGGCAGGCTTGGAAGTAGCTTTCTCAGTTGCCCAGAAAAAAAATTTGAAACAGATTTAAAAAAAATTTGAAACAGATCTATCAACTTTACTCCTTTTTTTCCCATTTAAAATTTGCAAAGTGGCAGTTTTCTGCTGTATGCAACCAAAGGTGGTTTTTTTTTCAACCAAAGTTTTGTGTCATGTTGCTGCTGCGTGTCTTCGAGTTGGAACTAACCCATAGCTGATCCTCCAGAGGGTTTTCAGAGGCAGTAAATCGCCCGGGAGGAGATTGCCCATCTGCCTCCCACGGAGCAGCTGGATTCGAACTGCTTGCCTTTGGGTTGGCAGCCCAGCTCCTTCCACTAAGACACCAGAGCTCCCTGCAAGTGTTATCGTGGTATAATGATTTGTAAAAAGATCTTGTGCGTCATGGACGCCTCCTCACCTATCGCATTAGTCCTAATATGTGAACTCAACCTAATAGGTTTGTGAAGCACATTTGTCGTCCTCAGATCAGATGGTGGTGTGGCATGGATGGGTTCTGAGAGGACTGTGGGTTCAACCTTCCAGATGACTTGGTTCCAGTTGAATTGCTTATGGAATTATTTCCCTCATGGGAGTTGCTGTGATAGCTGTATTCCGGATCTGAAGATTTATAAATGAGGAACCTCGTTAGGGATTTACACTTGAAAAGTTAATGAGCATTAACTGGTAACCAGTAAGTAAATGCTGGATCTTCTGTGTGGCCCCAGTAAAGTCACATCAAAGTGAAGGGTGCAAGATCGTGCTGGGACGGAGATGGGGGATTTCCCTTGGATTCTGCGGCCAGCTGCTTTCCACACTTATATAAGTGTTACATCTTAATTATGTTCTGAAACGCACATGACTGTGTGTTGTGCATACACCAGAGGGGCTACCAAAATGGCGGTTCTTAGCACGAGATAGGGCCTAAACTTGATCCAGAAGAAGGAGGTCATACTACACTGGTGATCACTTTTATCTAGTTCATGGTGTTATCAGATTTTATGAAGTGGTGAGTAATGGTCTAAGGAGATTTGTTTGTAGTCAGGAGCTTCCTGTTCTGTTTGGGGTTTGTAGAAAAATTATCATTTTATTCTGTTCTTCAAGTGTGAGGAATGTTGTGAGATGACCTTCCATTACGAGAGATATTTGGTACAGTGAGGGAAAGGAGTGTTGTCATAAATACTGATAGGTTTTTCTCTAAGATAAGTTTATTCCAAAACCAATACTCATTGCTGTCAGGTCTATTTTGATTCATAGCTGAACAGGACAGAGTAGATCTGGTTCACAGAATTTGAAACACTGTAAACTTTCCTTCTGCAAAGGGGCTGGTGGTTTCAAACTGCCATTTTTTTTTTTGTTAGCTGCTGTTTGCTTTAGCTACTGTTGGGCAAGGGCTCCTTGATGCGTGGTCTCAAAACTCACTGATTTCTCCTGAGGATCCAGAGAGACGCTTGGCCTTTGGATTCACAGTACACTTCCCCATTGCTGTTGTTAGATGGTGTTGAGTTATTGATTCCACTCATAGCAACCCTGTAAACAGCAGATCTGACTTGTCCTATCCTGTACTTTCCTGATGATCTCTGATATCCTGAGTCCATTGTTAGAGTCAATGTGTCAGTCCATCTTGTGAAGATTCTTCCTCTCTTTATCTGATCCTCCAACTTTCCTAGCATGATCTCTATTTCCATGAACTGGACTCTCCTGACCACATGCCTAAAGTATGTTAGGCAGAGTTTCACATCCTTGTCTCTAAGGCACACCCTGTTGCACTTCCTCCAAGACAGATTTGTTTGTTCTTTTGGTAGTTTATGAGATATTCTCCAGCTGGAGAACTGTTCTCCAGCACCAATTTGAAGGAATTGACTTCTTCTGTCTTCCCCCCCCCCCCACCCCCCGAACCTGATTATCTGACTTCAGGTGCATAGAAAGTAGTTGAAAAGACCTTAAGGCTTTGATAAGGGACACCTTAGTCTTTAAAGTGATATCTTTGCCCTTTTAGCCCTTTCAGAGAGGTCTTGACAACAGATTTTTCTCAGTGTAACAGGCCTTTTGATTCCCTGATAGATGTTGCCATTGGTACTGATTGAGGATCCAAATAAAATGAAATCCTTTACAACTTCAGTCTTTCCTCTGTCATGATATTGGTCCAGGGATGAGGATTTTTTTTTTCCTTGAGGTAGAGATGTAATCCATATTGAAGGTGTAGTCTTTGATCTTCTTTGTGAGTGCATTGTCATCTGCCTAACAGAGGTTTTTAATGAGTCTTTTTCAATCCAAGTGTCAACATTCTTCATGTAGTCCTGCTTCTCAGATGATTTGCTCAGCATACGGATTGAATAGATGTGGAAAAAAAAAATTATACAGGTCTGACACAAAACTTTCCTGAGTTTAACCCAGGCATTGTTCCCTTGTTGGTGCTTAAAATTCTAGTATTCTTTCATGAGTCACATTGGATGTTCACACCATCTTCTTTGACGGGTTTTATTTCTTCCTGCATTTTCTCTTCCCTACCCTAATTGCCTTGCTTTTAGGTCCTAGTCACAAACCAAGCCCACTGCTGTGGGAAGGAGTCCCCAACTCCCAGCAACCCTGTAGGATAGAGAAGAACCGCTCCTACACATCTAGGGCTGTAGATTTTTATAGATTGTCACGTCTCTTTCCTGCAGAGGGGCTGCTGGGTTCAAATCACCATTCTTTTGGTTAGCAGTCATGCATTCCTTCATCAAACTGACAAAATATATTTGAATCTTTAAAATACTTTATTTGCTAATATATTTAAGTTACTAGAGCTGATATATTTAAGTTACTAGACCTAATGTAAAAAATAAGCTGAGGTGGGTTTGGGGGAGTGGCATAGTGAACCTCAGTGGAAGAAAGTAAGTTACTGTAGAGGGTTTTTTATTTATTTGTTAAGAAAATATAATTTTATTGTGATAATGTTGTTGCTAAGTGCCGCCGAGTCGCACTCATAGCGACCCTATGAAGGAGAGTCCTCAACGCTTGTATATTTTTCATCCTCTCTTCAGGTTCACAGGGTTTCCAGAGGCAAGCTATTACAGAAGTGGATACCATTCTTGCTTCCAATATTGTGATATATTGTGATACTATATAGCAAAATATATGCCAAAAAGTTTGCCATTTTAACAGTTTTTAAATGTCACCAGTTGTATTTACCATGTTTTGCAGCCATCACCACTGTGAATTTCCTAAAGTTTTTTCCTCGTCCCAACCAGACACTCAATGCCCTGTAATCAGTGACTCTGTTCACTCTTCCTCTCAGCCAGGAGCTAATAACTTTATTGTTTTCTTTAACTGCTTTTTTGGTCTTGACAAATCTTCAAACACTAGAGAACACTAGTCAGCAACCTCACCCACACCACTGAACTGCCGTTATTGTGAGCAGTGGCACCTCCACAGCAGGCACGTGGCTCTTTAGAAGAGTCATTATCAGAGAACACAAAGGCCAGAGCTGTTGCTTTATAAAATGCAAAGTCCAGTGTTCATTTTTCTCACTTAAGATCTCCATTTTCTCAACTGTAGAATGATGACCCAGCAGGTATAATAAATGAATCCCAACTTATTTATTGAAGTTCACTATCAAAAGTTATTGTATAGTAAAATGTTTAAAGCCTAACTTTTAACTACGTCTTAATAATTTAAGGTATGGAAAAGCTTAAAAAGCTCTCCTTCTTATTGTAACTTCTTAAAAATGAATGTGTATGTTTTCTTAAAGACAAGCTTGGGGTTAATTAAAACTTAAAATTTAAAAAACATAGCTCCGGTGGCCTAGTGGTAAGAAGCTGTGGTGCAGTACCAACGGCATGCAGTTTGAGGCTGTTCCATTGGAGAAGAATGGGCAGTCTCCTCCCGTGTGATTAACTGCCTCTGAAAAACCCACTGGAGGGTCAGCTATGGGTCGGTTCTGACTCTCCAGTACACAACAACAAATTGTTGTTAGATGCTACTGAGTCTACTATGACTCATATTGTTGTGTACGTTTGAGTTGGAAACTTGTGGGTTTTTAGAGGCAGTTAATCTCAGGAGAGGAGATTCCCTTCCTTCTCCCTCAGAACAGCTGGTGAATTTGAACTGCTGCTTGCCTTTAAGGATTGCAGCACAGCTTCTTGCCCTTAGGTCACCGGATGAACCTTGCCCTATTCTGTACCTTCTCTCTTATTACCATCAAGTTGGGACTGACTCATAGCTGACTCTTCAGTGGATTGTCAGTCTGTAAATTTGCATGGGAGGAGATTGCTCATCTTCTTCCTGTGAAACAGCTGGTGGGTTCAAACCACTTGCCTTTGTGTTGGCAGTGCAACTCCTTACACATTAGGCTACCAGAGCTCCTTAGTCTGTGTAAAAGGAGCCTTGGTGTCCTAGTGAGAAACATATAACAGGCTACTAGCTGAAAGGCAAGCAGTTTGAATCAACCAATTGCAAAGTTAGTCCACTTCTGTGTAGATTTTCGGTGTTGGAAACCCAGTGGAGGGTCACTGTGAGTTGAAACCAAGTAGATGGCAGGAGGGTGAGTGGTGCACTGGGTAGTACTCAGCTGCTAACTGGTGGTTGGCAGTTTAAGCCTACGAGTTTTTCTATGGGAGAAAGATGTGGCAATCCCCTTCCATAAAGATGTACAGCCATGGAAACCCTGGGGGTCTGTTCTGCTCTGCCTGTAGGGTCACTGTGAATCTGGGCCATCTTGATGGAAACAGGAAACTTAGATTAAGGTGGAGAGGGAGGGGTGGAAGGGAGCCCTGCGTTTTCACAAAACACCTCAAGCTATTCTGTAAGCTTTAAAACCGTTTGAAATGTGATGTGGGATTATATTGTTGTATTGTTTTACTTCCAAGGATGGCACAAAAGAAATATCTTCAAGCAAAATTAACCCAGTTTTTAAGGGAAGATAGAATTCAACTTTGGAAACCTCCGTATACAGATGAAAATAAAGAAGTTGGCTTGGCATTGAAGGTATTTTTCTCTTAGGACATAAATGATAATCAGTGATACAAATACCTTTGGTAAATCAGATTCTAAAATATTTTTAAACTGTTAGCACAATCATATCAGCGCAGAAACATCAGTTGTGAGCAAATACCCACTTTTGCTGGGAGTTAACAAGCTCATTTTTGTTGTTTAAGTTTTATTTGTATAGCAACAGCATGCACTTTCTCAGGTCTATTAATCTAGAAACTAATTTTGTCTGATGGCTCAGCAGTGCTCACCGTACTTTTATTATTTTTTTGAATGATAGTATCTTGGTTGTGTCTTAGTTCTCCTTGCTACTATGGTCTATAAAACAATTCCCCTTCTTTCATTTTTGAACATTCTGATTATCAGTGTTTATTGTCTCCAAATATATTTTTCTACTTGCTATGATTCAGATTTGTATGGTATCATCAGGTGGCTTTATTTTATATAAAGGAAATTTCAGGGAACTGAAATTTGCCTGCTTTTTGAAGCAGTGTTGAGTCAGAGTTGACTCATCGCTGACTGTCAGTGGGTTTCCCCGCTGGATACCAGAGCTCCCTTTTAAAGTAAGGAAGCATTTTTAATGGAAACTTAATGGATGAGAAAGTCTTATCATGTACTTATTTTTTTAAAATATGTACTTATATATGTACATTTTCAGCATTCTGAATGTGATTTAACATTTGTTGAGAACTGAGGATTGTCAGGCAGATGTCAGAGGTGTCTCTGTTGTCACACAGTGATGAGCCTGGGAGGTATAGAGTTGAATCCCTTTTGTCCCTGAGAGGTCTCACTATTAATTTTTGCAAGCCAGCTGTGACCTTACTTCTGATTTGATTTTATCTGCTTGACTCAGAAACTTAATTAGATTTCTTTTTGAGGGTTTTCTTTTCTTTTAAATTTTCCTTTTGTCCATTTCTTCACTTTTTCTTTAGTGGAGATGAGCTAGCCTTTCTTTAATTTTTAGGATTGATATTTTATTGTGTTTTCAGTGAAAGTTTACACAGTGTTTAGGTTTCCAGTCAGCAACTTCTACACAGTGACATTGATTCTTCACAGCACATAACACGTTCTCAGTATTTCTCATCTAGTTGTTCCATTTTCATCCATCTAGTTTTCCTGCCTTCTTACATTTTCATCTTTGAGAGTAATTGCTGATTGTTTAAAGTTCATTATTTCTTTTTTTTATTAATTTTAATGGACATTTACAGAAATTTTGGATTTCCATTCATTTATTGTTGCATTTTTCTCCCTGCTCCCCCCTGCCACCCAGTTTTCGCCTCTCTCTGAAAAGTAAAAGAAAAATTCCTTCGTTGGTATACAATCCCACCCCCCTAGTACACTTCACTATGCAGCCTTCACTCTGGACACCCGACATTGCCATAATAACCAATCATATATTGCTTTTAAACTGTTCTTTTCCTCATCTGTTTCAATGCAGTATACATAGTTTATCCAATTTTTCTCAGTCTCACCCCAACCCAGATGTCAGTCCCATTCTACAACAGTGGCACTATGCAGTATTTGTCCTTTTGTGACTGAGATATTTCAGCATAATGTCCTCCAGGGTTACCCATTTTGAATACTATTGCATGAGTTCCTTGTTTTTCAACGCAACATTATTTCTTAAAAGAACTTTTAAATATATCACAGTATCTGTAATAATGCATATTTTTTCCCCCAGAATAATTGTAATTCTTTTCACTTTTGCTCTTGGGATTGTTCTTCTGGTCTTTTTTTTTTTTTTTTTAAATCTGTTTTTCTCTCTACCCTTTCCTAATTCTTTATACCTTCTTACCTTGTAATAAGCCAAAGTGAAGACTGGATTTCACTACAAAAGGGTGCCAGCAGTATTAGTCGCCTTAGAGTCTTGCCTTCTTGTCTTTCTCTTTTGAGTTGATCCTGTATTGATATAGGGAGCTCTGGGTGTAGTCCTTGGGGAGGTGCACTGCTAACTCAGAGGAGCCGCCTCTGGAGGTTCGAATCCTGCTGCTTTTGGGGAGAAGTTGGGAAGTTTCCTCCCTGTGATTTATAGCCTCTGAAAAACCTATTGGAGGACCGGCTGGGGGTTGATTCCAGTGTGACAGCAATAAGTATTACTGATCTGCATTTTCTAAATTTTTAAAAACTATTTTTAGTTTTCATATAATAATTTCTTTACATTTTGTTTCATTTATGTGCATTGTACTTTATATAATCTTTCATTTACATTGTGTTTCATACAATCATTCATATACATTCTATTTTACATATTTTTGAAATTAGTTTGCTTATAAAGTTTATATACATTGTGTTTCACACTATTCTTCATTCACATTTTGCTTCATACAATTATTCTCATACATTATATTTTAGAAAATCAGTCACCATTGGACCTTACCCTTCATTACTCTGTCTTTTCACCAGAATTCTTCCCATTTGCCTGCCCCCCTCCCTCCACCCTCCACACTCTGCAGCCCAGTGGTTTCACCCTTACCTGTCCTCACCCCTCTACTCCTCCCACTTTGAGTTTCTGTACATGTTATCCGTCTATTTTTACAATAATGGGCTTATGAGACATAATGCTCTTCAGCCTCCCCCAGGTTGCATAGTATTTTTCAAAATTGTTGAGTGCTGCATTTTTCTGAATTTTTTATAGGATCTGGCTAAGAAATACTCTGACAAGCTAGAATGTTGTGAAAATGAGGTGGAAAAAATAATAGAAGAAATACGATGCAAAGCTATTGAACGTGGAACAGGAAATGAAAATTATAGAACAACAGGAGTCGCCACAATTGAGATATTTCTACCACCGAGACTAAGAAAAGTAAGTTATTTTGCTAAATTGATGTCATTTAATGAAATTGTCAAATAAATGGTCATTTTTTATATGACACTTCAGACATAAAATTCTTGCAAGTTATTTTAATATCAAACATTTATTGACTAAAATGTAAATGTTATGGATTCCTAGACTAGTAGCTCCAAACCGTTTTCTCCATTTGTTGTGATACTCTTTATGGATAAGCTATAGGGTGATAAATGGAGAAAAAATCGATGTTGTCAAGGATTTTTTTTATTTGGATCCATGGAAACAGCTCTCAAATCAGTGTATTTCGTTGGGAAAATCTACTGTCAGAAACCTCTTTAACGTACTAAAGAGTCAGAATGTCACTGTGAGGACTAAGGTGTATCTGACCCAGACCATTGTGTTTCCAGTCACCTTATTTACCTGAGAAAAATGGTCAGTGAGTAAGAAAGACCAAAGGAGAGTAGATGCTTTTGAATTGTAGTGTCGTCAAAACGTGTTGAATGTGCCATAAACTGCCAGAACAAGCAGGTCTGTCTTAGAAAAAGTGCAACCAGAATGCTCCTTAGAACCAAGGGTGACGAGGCTTCATCTCACATATTTTGGGCACATTGTGAGGAGAAAATCCTGGAAGGGTATCCTGCTTGGTAAAGTAGTTGTGTGCCAGAGAAAAAGAGGCAGGCCCTCCATGACTTCCAGAGAGGATTGACGCAGTGACTGCAGCAGTGACACACACAGCAGTGTTTCTTTCTGTTGTACATGTTATTAGGTGCCATGGGCTCAGCACTGACTCATAATGACCCTACAAACAAATCTGAAGCCTGTCCTGTTCTCTGCCATCCTCATCATCTCTGATACACTTGAGTCCATTGTTAACAGTCCAGCTTTCTGAATGTTTTCTCTCTTTCACTGACCCTTTACCGTAACCAGCTTAGAGTTTTTTCCCCTAAGAACTAATCCCTCCTAACATCATGCCAAAATGATGCAAGATGAAGTTGCACCATTTTTCCCTCCAAGGAGCTCCCTGGTTGCACTTCCTCTAAGATGTATTTGTTTGTTCTTTTGGCAGTCTGTGATATATTCAGTACTCTTATCCATTACTACAATTCAAAGGCATCAATTTTTTTCTGTCATGCTTGTTGATTTTCCATCTTTCAAATACATAGCAAGTAATTGAAAGGACTATGGCTAGACTGCACCACCTTCTTTAAACAGACATCCTTGCTTCTCAGCAGATTATTTTAATGCAGCAAGTCTTTTGATTTCTTGATGGCCAGTGCCGTGGATGTTGATTGTGGGTCCAAGCAAGCTGAGTTCATTGACAACTTCAGTCTTTTCTCCATCCATCGTGATATTGCTGATTGGCTCAGTGGTTAGGATTTTTTGTTTTCTTGATGGTGAGATATAATGCCTTGTGAAGCAGAGCTGACTTGAAAGCATCTCACAATAGCAGTTCAAAAAATTCTCCATTTAAGTATGTTTTATTTTGTTTTTTACACAGGACAGGAAGAACTTGTTGGAGACCCGATTGCACATCACTGGCAGGGAACTGAGGTCCAAGTAAGTAGCATGTGCTTGGAGCTCCAACTGGTCTTGGCCATTTTCATACTCACTCACCTGGTCCTTTTTGTCCATTCTTTTAGGAGATAGAGGGATGATACTTTTATCTCTGTCAGGAAGGAATGTGTTCATCTGAGGTTCAATGACTTAGTTACATGGGAAAGTGGGAAGTCAAGATTTGCAGCAATTTTATTTCTGGATATAACTTTTAAATCAGATCAGAGTTGGTGCCTACCATCTAATAGTTGTATTGTAGTTCTCACTGTAAAGTGTTCTGATTTCAGACTGTTGAACCTTTTATAAAAAGAAAAAACACCCAAAATTTAACAGAGATCCTGATTTGAGATCTAGTCAGTGTTTTCTCAACTTGTGTATTTTTAAACCATGAGTGTTTAGAGTACATCCAGGGCTCACCAGTCCATGCTTTCCGTTTTCTTCTTTGATCTACTTCAGGGCTATTGTTAGGTGCCATCAATTTGAGTAGCAACACTATGAACAACAGATCTAATCCTTTTCCTATTCTGTCATTTCTGACACAGTGGAGCCCATAGCTGTGTCAATTTCGTCTCATTGAAGTTCTTCCTCTCTTTTGCTGACCCTTCGCTTTTTCAAGCATGATGTCGCTCTCCAAGGAATAGCCTCTCTTAGCAACATGCCCAAAGTATACGAAGCTCTTAGGGGTGATTTAAGAAACATCACTCATTCAGTACAAATGAACAGAAGATTGGAAGGATCAGCTCTGATTACTGACTCCTGTAAGGTTTTCTCATAACCTTAGCTGGGGCACCTTGGCTCAGGTTGCTGATAGCACCCTGATCCCCTAGATAGTTTAAAAAATATGTCTGTTAAGAGTATCCTGAATAGTCATATGTGTGCTGACTCTGTCATGAAGTGATGTTTGTGCACTAGTTATAATACTGGATGTTTCTGAATAAAATTATTACCATGATTAACATCTACGTGATTAATATCTACATTTACTTTTTTTTAGATTAACACCTAGTGAATGATTAACACCAAATTTGTTTTCCTGTAATTTTCATTGATTTTGTTTTACAGAATAGCTGAAACCTTTGGATTTCAAGAAAATTATATCAAAATTGTCATAAATAAGAAAGAACTTCAATTAGGTATGTTATGGCAAAGTATGTGGAATTTTAAAATCAAGCCAATAGAGGAGTGATTTCTCATTTTTTGTTCCTCCGTTGTCCCTTTATTTTAGAATTTATGGTATAATCCAAAATGAATTATTTTAGACGTTTATAAAAATGTAAATCAGAAAACAGTGTTTTTCCATTTTTGTTTGTCCTGTGGCATAGTGTAGTCTGACAAAGTAGTACAAGCTCTGTGTCTGACGTGTACTGAGAATGAAGTTGGGGTCAAAAAGATTCTCCCTGAGGGAGATGAGTTAAAATTGAATGTAGACAGCAGAACAGGCTGTCATGGCTGGTGTTTTAGACAGAGAACTTCATCATGGCACCATAACAGGGACTCTGGGAAGTGAGGGGAAAGTCTCTAGTGACTGTGTGGCGACAGGCGTCGGTCATCTTGTGGAGGACTCTGACAGTTGTTCTCAAGCTGGGGTGTTTTTGCCCCTGGGGGACAGTTTCCAATGTTTAGAAACATTTCTGATTGTCACACCTCTGACAGAAGGGTGCTACTGTACCTAATGGGCAAAGGCTGGGGATGCTGCTAAGCGTCCTGCAGTGCTCCACAACAGTGAACTAGAATTCTTACCAAAAGTGGCAGTGGTGTAGCTGAGAAAGCCAGAGAGGATGAACTTCGTTCATTGTTAGAGAATTTGTCTCAAGAACAAAGGAAGTAATTTGTGTGGGGGAAGAAGTGATAGATGGTCCTATTTGTGCTTTAAAAGATCACCGTAGAATAAGGATTCAAGAAGGGTGGGAGAGGGTGGAAGCAGAGGGATGAGGATGTGCAGGGGGAGGGGGATTAATCATGGAGTTGCACAGTTTGATGGGTGGGGCTGAGGGAAATTGGAAGAATCTGTTCTTGTAAAAACAATGTGTTTGAATTTTTTAAACTAGTATTAAAAAAAAATCACTGTAGCTTCATGAAGGAAATGGGTTTGAAGGGAGCATGCCTGACCCTAAGGAGACTAGTTAGTTATTGTAGTGATTCTGGCTAGTGTTAGAGTCTTGGGGGTTTCCCATGGCTTCCTTGGGAATCAAGTTTAGATTTCTTAGCTGCACGGCCTAGCCGTGGCCTCCCTTTCTAGTATCTTCCCAAAACATTTTCCTACAGAGTCTCAATCTGGAGCTGTACTTGACTGCACACTGTTCTCACTCATGTTAACATGTTGACTTTTGCTCCTTTGAAACTGCCTCTCCTACCCCTTCATTCCTCTTCATCCCACTGCAGTCTCTGACGTCTAGGCCTGGGCCTGGATCCACTGGCATTGCCTTTTCTCATTCAGTGTACTTTCCCGAGTCCACTTTGTCCCAGCACCAGTGATTGAATGTAGGTTTGCATTTGTGATACTGGTTTTGTGTATTATCCTCCCTCCATTTTTTTGTTGTTATACATTTTCTTATTCCACGCCACCCAGTAGTGCACCCCTTGTTCTAGCTTTTGTCATATATATATAATACCTAATCATATATTTCTTTCGGACAGTTTTCCCCCTCATCTGTTTTACTGCACTGTTCTTTATCTGTAAACTCTTTTCCTATTCTCTGCCCACCTCACCCCCATCTGTCCTATTTTATAACAGCCGTGTTATACAGTATTTGTCCTTTTTGTGACTGAGATACTGCACTCAACATAATGTTCCCCAGGCTTCCTCATGTTGTGTAATGCTTTATGAGTTCATTGTTCTTTGGTTTTGTGCATTTTTGAACAGCTAAAAAGTGCATATCCTAAGGACCATCAGAGGGTGAAGGTGGTGTTTAGGAAGGTTTCAATAGTTGACTATGTGGCTGCATGAACTGGGGAGTTGTAAAGATCATTGTGTTGTTGTCTTACTTTGATGCCGTAGGTGTGAAGAGCTGAGTTAGTCACACTTTGTGTTGCCTGGCACACTGCCTTCATCACTTTGGGCAGTGACTGCTCCTGTGTTTTTCTCTTTCATCTCTAATTCTTTCTCATCCCTTTTCTGTAAGTGCCCACTTCTGTATGTTTAAAACCTGTGGTATATCTCTTCCAGGTCTTGAGTAGACACCAGTACTCACCAGATTAAGTTGTAGACTAGAACTTTATGAGCTATTTTATTATGCCAGTTATTTGAGATGTTCTACCAAGACTGTTGTCCTAATCCTTCACACCCAGAAAACCCATGTGCACACATATATTCACTGCATTAAATGGGGGATGGGGAGAAGGAATATCTTGAATGCCCTTCAGTGGAGGGATGGATAGGAAAAATGTGTGTGTGTGTGTGTGTGTGTGTGTGTGTGTACGTGTACATACACACACAGTGTGGAATATTATACAACCATAAAGAACCATGAGTAGTCCAGAAAACATATAACATGAGTAGATTTGGAGGACACAATGTTAAGTGAAATAAGTAAGTTGATTAAGGAAAAAGATTGTATGATCCTGTTTTTAAAAGAAAAGGACATATATTAAAACAACTATGAGATATCATCTTACCCTAATCAGCATAGTAAAATTTAACAGAACAGCAAACAACAAATGCTGGTGAGGTTGTGGAGAAACTGGAACCCTTATTCACTGTTGATGGGAGTGTATAAAATGGTGCAACCACTATGGAAGGTGGTACGGCACTTTCTCAAAAAGTTGCAAATAGAGATACCATTTGACCTAGGAATTGCACTACTGTGAATATACACCAAAGAGACCATAACTGATATCCAAGCAGATGTATGCACACCCATGTTCATTGTGGCTTTGTTCACAATAGCAAAGAGATGGTAACAACCTAAGTGCCTATCAACAAACAAATGGATAGAGAAGCTGTGGTATATTCACACAATGGAATACTATGCTGCATTGAAAAACAAGGA